CATGCGAGTGGTTAGGGGTGATCAGGCAGGCAGGTGAGCAGTTAGGAGCCAACAGTCCCGGATTGAGAGAGGGATATCCAACTGCCAGTTTAGGCCCAATCTGTAGAGATCCCTGTGGGATTGGGCCTAAACCAGTAGTCAGACTTCTTTCCAGGAGTTCCAGATTGGAGAGGGTGCAGGCCAGGCTGAGCCCCCCCCCCACCCCGTGCATGAGTTTCGTGCACTGGGCCACTAGTATATAAATAAATAAATAAAAATAACTGTACAGTAGTGGCTAACAAATCCTCACACCATCCTTCAGAGATGGGTAATGACAGCTACTTCATACTATTCCTATGCTATCAAAAAGTGGGAGTTAGAGGTTGCTTAGTGTGTTTGTGGTGATCAGTTACTGAGTCTTCCTAAATAGGATTGCTAAAACTTCCTAAATTACATTCATCCACTAAGTAGGCCTAACTCTAAAGAATAATTTTGCATTCTGAAAGAGCAAATAGAAAAAATGTAATACTTCATCCTAAGTATCTTCTTTATAGATATAATTAGTTTGAGAATATCTTGGTGCTTTACTATCTTTAATTTAAACTGAAAAATTCTTATTTTTAATAAATGCTGTGATCAGTTAAACTTTACCTTTCAACATGTTTGATGCACATGTTGTCTCAATGCCAGATGTGCTAAAGTTGTCTTTTACTGCAACAGGAATTCCATCTAAATCCCCAAGTGAGTGACCTGTGTTAAAAAGCCAAAAGACTAAAAGTATCTAATTCAAGATATAATGACACATTAATACTAGTTAGTAACTATTAGTTCTTGGTAAAGATACTTCTTCAGAAATAAAAAATTCAGGTTAGAAATTATTGCAGTTGGACAGTAAAAAGCATCATATATCCAATCGCCTCATTTTTTATTATACCGCATGGCAAGTTCTTTAAATAAGGGAATGCTTTATGTTAAAAAAAATTCTCTTGCCAAATGGAGATTGCTACATCCAATTGAAACTCTTTCTCTAAGGATATAACAACTGAGTATAATTCAAAGTAATTTACCTTTCTTATATCTTTTCTCTGATTCTTCAGCTTGCTTTAAGGCCACTTCTTCTGATACAGTAATGTAAGCATTTAGAAACTTGGTCTTCTTGATCAGGGAGAGACATTTTAGACAGAGCTCAGTTGGAGTAATTTGGCCTTGTTTCAGTGCAGTAGAAACCTATAATATATACAGTTCAAAAACCCTTTGTTGAGTCTGCAGAGGTTTCAAATGTTACACTGAGGAAGGCAGATAGAGTGGTTAAGTATAAATTTTGAAGTAAGGCTTGGATTCCAAACCAAGAAAACCTATTAACTCTACACTTAATGTAGTGAACCAGGGTAACATCTTGATCAGCTTGAAGATGGTTTGGAGGACACCACATTCATAGGCCTAGCTAAGTAACTGACTCTAAGCCAGGCTTGAACAAACAAGAGCGATGGTTTAGGTCAGTGATGGCGAACCTATGACATGCGTGTCTGAGGTGACATGGGAACTCATTTTTTTGGTTGATTTTTCTTTGTTAAATGGCATTTAAATATATAAAATAAATATCAAAAACATAAGTTTTTGTTTTACTATGGTTGCAAATATCAAAAAATTTCTATATGTGATATGGTACCAGAGTTAAGTTAGGGTTTTTCAAAATGCTGACATGCTGAGCTCAAAAGGTTCGCCATCACTGGTTTAGGTAAAACATCCTGCCCAGGAGAAGTAGAGGTCCAGCATGAGTGAAGCATGGTTTAGGAGAGATTGTGTACAGAGAGTAGCCTAGCTGCAACACAGGCAGTCCACAGAGAAAGAAAAATGAACTAGACAAGTCAATACAGGACTTTATGCTCTAAATTAATTACCTTTATTAAATAGATCTTTGGAGAATTCAAGCAAAAACCACTATTCATTAAGAAAAACGCTTAGAAAATATGGATTCAAAAGCAAACAAACTTTCCTGAAATCCTGTCTTCGCTGCATCAGGAAGACTGGTAAAGAAAAGCATTAAAACTGAACTACAAGTTACCAGAACCTGCATATTGATGGTAAGTGAAGCCTCAGGTGAAGTGATAATTATTTAATACTTCCTACAGAAGTAATAACGACATGCTTACCAGGTAAAATAAGTAACTAGAAGTTGAAGACAACACCAAATCTTTGGAGATAATATGAAAAGGCAGATGGGAGCTCAGAGATAAGGGGGGGTGGGGAAGAATATTTATTGAGTATTTACCAAGTGCCAGGCATTGTTGTTGGCTTTACGTGCATTATTACTTCATTTAATCCTTAAAACAACTACAGAAGTTAAGTATTATTAACATTATTTTAGAGATGAAGAAACTGAAGGTCAGAGAGGTTAGGTGATTTGTCCAAAGACACACAAATGGTAAAGGGTAGAGGTAATTTTTTAACATATGTCCCCATCATTTCTCTCTGCACTAGTGGAAGCTTAGTTTGTCCTCTAAGTTGACTGCATTTTCATGTGTCCTAAGCACATCAAGCAACCGGAGTTTGCATTTGGAGGAAAATGTGCAAATGATCTGCTCTTAGCTGTTGAATAAGTCATCAAAGCAGTAGTATTCTTAGGGCTGAAGGTTTTAAATGAGGAAAGCTGTGGGATAGACCTTTGAGAGGACCCAGTGCTGATGGACAAGAGGAGGAAAGAACTGCCATGGAGAGTCTGGGTAAGTGACTCAGGGATGGAGAGGGGAGCTGGGATTGACTTAAAGGAGGTAACCTGGTAACAAGAGATATTTCTATTCAATTGTTTGTATGCAATGTGAACTTACAAGAAAGGAGCCGAAGAGAAATAAAATGATAGCAGTGTGTTCTAAAATTGTAAGTATGGAGAGAGAAGAAAGAATAAAGTGTTAGGCTGGGTAGAAGAGAGTCAGAACTAGCAAACACCCAAAGCTAGAGAGGCAGATAGCTATATAGGCAGGCCTATCCCGTGGCAAAGTTGTAATAGGAAAATTATGTCTGCCACTTTCTTTTGCCTCAAGTCCTCTAATGCCCACTATCCTCAAACTGCTTTCTGACTTGTCAGCTGGTATAAGAATAAGAGGTAATAAGGAGTTACAGTTGTGAGAAATCAGATTGCCCAGGAGCATGCACTTTAAATAGTGCTGACGCTCGTTAGGACCATTTTTAGGAAATCCAGATTTGAGAAAATCACTAAGGGAATTGGAGAAGAGAAATGAAAACAAAGATGCTAATGAACTAGAATGGATTGAGCATAAGGAATATGAGATATAAATAGTACAGTTCTCCTGGGACAAAACTAAAGCTGTCATATTTGAATATAGGATGAAATCAAATATAAAACTTTTTGTAAAAAACCCCAAATTCTTGCCCAGCCAGTGTGGCTCAGTGGTTGAGCATCAGCCCATGCACCAAGAGGCCTCTGGTTTGATTCGTGGTCAGGGCGTATGTGCAGGTTGTGGGCTCAATATCCAGTAGGGGGGATGCAGGAGGCAGCCAATTGATGTTGTTTCTCTCTAATGTATGTTTTTATCTTTCTCTCTGTCTCCCTTCCTTTCTCTCAAAGATCAATAAAAACATATTAAAACAAAACAAAACATCAAAAAACAAATTCTCTCTCCCTGGCACTTCTTTCCTCTAGGAAACTAGGCTTTTCTGAGGCCATTGCTTCTCCTGCAACTTTCTCAAAGGGTGGCTGTTTTAGCTCCTACCTACCATGTAGCAGAGTCCAGAGGAGAAAAGAATATGCGGGCAAGCTTCCTCCTAGGTTATATAATGCCTTTTCTTTCAAAACCCAGCTCATCTTAAGAACAGGCCTTGGAGGGGATTATATTACCCTCCAAGTCTCCCTACACCAAGTCTCCCTACTACTCCTTCTCATTCATTGAAGATTTGAGCAGCTAGCTTACTGTAATCTTCTTTACTATGGCTCCTGTTCCTATTTCAGTTGAACTCAAACTTCAAGTTATGCACACTGACACCTGGCCTCTCAGTTCTTGACCTCACTTTACACAAACTTCCCTCCATCTTACCAGTGACCAACTCACATGGTCATAGCCCAGACTACATCATTACCAATCTATATATATAAAAGGCTAAGTGTCTATCCATCCGACCAGTAGCTATGACGTGCACTGACCAGCAGGGGGCAGACGCTCAACACAGGAGCTGCCATGATGCACACTGGCCATTTAAAAATAAATGGCACCACAGACCTGGTGCCGACAAACCAACACTCGGCTTCCCCCAAGTGGGACACAGGCCCTGCCACCATCCCAGAGGGACACCCCACCAAATCGCAGCCAATGCTGCCAAGACCCCATGGTGCAAAATGCAGCCCACAGCCCAGCCCAGCCCAGAAACAGTCACTGTGGGCGCTTGGTAATAATGCCAGGTAGCAACGCCTGGCTTCCTCTCCCTAGCAACTAGTTTCCTTGCAGTTTCTTCAGCCCAGGAACCTAGCTTATAGCCAAGTAGAAAAATTTTACACTTTAACCAAATGTCTATGAAGCATTTTCTTGTGCCTCATTTCATTTGATCCTCACAGAAGTCCTGGAGTAGGTATAAGAGAAGCTGGGGTGCTTAACTGGGCTGGAAAGTTTAGCTAAATCAAAAAGCAGGTCTAATTAAGCAAGTTTATTCTATGTCTATAAAAGGCTAAGTTGACTCACACATGCGTGATACATATAAAGCTCTCACTGGTGCCAATCGCTTGTGTGTTTCCATCTGTCATTGTCCACTGTGCCTTTGGTTGACACTTTTATTATAGAGAAAGGGCGAATAGCAACATTAAAATATTTCTTCTAATTAATTTCCTTTTAGTGGGCACGAATCCATGCACCAGGACACTAGTATCTGTATAAATCTCAATTCTAGTTATCCCACATCTCCTGTCCCTTAAGCTCATTTACTCTACTACCTACAAGGTTAGCAAGAAAATGGGGACCTCAGTTTTAAAACCCCAAGGAAACAGATTCTGCCAACAACAAATGAGGAGCCTACAACTTAAGGTGAAACCACAGCCCTGGCTGACACTTTGATTTCAGCCTTGTGAGACTCTAAGCCAGTGGTTCTCAACCTTGGCTGCACATTAGAATCACCTGGGAATCTTTTTAAAATCCTGATTTCTGGGCCTCATCCTCCAGAAATTCGGTTTCTTTGTACCCACCCTATAACAAAAGAAACCGAGTTTCCGGAGGATGAGGCCCAGAAATCAGGATTTTAAAAAGATTCCCAGGTGATTCTAATGTGCAGCCAAGGTTGAGAACCACTTTTCTGGGGCTACCACACAGATCGGCCTCCGGGAACTCAGCTGAGTTTTAACAAGGGCGAGGTAAGTCTGATAGCAGAGGGCCTGCAGGCAGTCATACAGGCTGAGAGATCCAGGGCAGGAAGCAGAGACCCGAATTAAAACCCTAACAGCAGGGATAGAGCAAGAAAACAGATTGCAGACATAATTTCAAGACAGAGTTAACAGGGGTGAGTGACTTATTGGATATTACAGATGAAGAAGAATCTAAAGGCAACGAGGATAAGGTTGTCCCATTAATGCGAGGCTATTAAGGATTCAGAAATCAGGTTTTGTTTTTTGTTGTTGTTTTTTTAAAGATGGATGCTGAGAGGTAAGAGGGGGTCCTGTTACAAGGAAGTCGACTTTGATTAACTTTAGTTTGAGGTGCTTATGGGACATTTGTTAGACATGTCCAGAAGACACTCACAAATACAGCCTAGGGACGTCCGGGAAGCAGGGACAAGGATGAAGGAATCATTGGTATGTATTTTAGTGGTAGTTAAAGCCTAGAGAATGATGTGCCAAGGGC